TCCAGAATCACGAAGCAGAGGGTCTTTCGTGTTTCATGACTGCTCCTCCAATGGATGAAGTTTCTGAATTTTGGGCAAAATAAGATAATCATTGTGACATTAACCCTACTTCTATAATACAATTTTTTAGTAGTACTATATTGTTTACATATATTCTTAAATATTAATTTCTGGACTTTGGTGAAGATACAGAACGAAGTGTATGGAAACAGTTCTTTATTTTAGATATGTATTACCTATAACTTATATTTTTGTTATTATCTTTGTTATTGTTTTTTTTTTGGTTGTTAATTTTCTCATGCTCTATTAAATACTATGTTTTATAAATAATATGGTTTTGTAATATCTACGAAAGAAAAAATAAAAATCTAAAAACAGTTGATTTTGTTTGTTCAATGAAAAAAATAAGGTCTTGGTTGGATTTACGGGTTCTTGAAAATCAAAACACGTTAACAAGTCACCATCTTTAGAATCTATTGTAGATGTTTATCATTTAGCTAATGTAAAATTTCTTTAAAATAAATTTGTCATTCAAAATATATATATGGTGTTATAATAAATAATTTTAAGAATTTATAACAGTGAGGAATTGAATATTAACATTATTTTAAATAGGAAAATCTCAATATATATATATATATATTAATCGAAGATAATATTGTTTGCTTATCTCTTTTGATTCTGAAATATTAATATTCTTAATTTTCGGTTATAGATTAATATAATTTCATATTGTTTCTTATAAATATACTCTAAATTTCATAACCCTAACAGATAATCATCACGCAATGGCGGATTATGATTTTATTCGTCAATTGAACTCTCAAAGATCCGATTGGAGAATTATAGTGAAGATACTGAAAAATTGGGTTGTGGATTACTCGGATGATAACCGAAGCCTAAATTTTATTATGGTCGATGAAAGGGTAAATTTCAATAACCTAATATAGTATTTGTGATATTTATTGTTCATTATGTTTATTGTTTTAACATACAATAATCTGTTTTTTGTTGTTTTGTTGATATTGTATAAACTTCTAGGGTTGTAGAAGACAAGCTCGGGTAAACAATCGGATGATGAAACATTTCAGTCAGATATGCAAAGAAGATCAATGGTTTATGTTGACTGGATTTCTTTTGAATCCTTACAGCTGGACTAATATCCAAAGTATTACAAAAAATGATTATGTTATTACACTAATAAAGGGAACAACGATTTCACCGACTTTACCATTAACAAATAATTTGTTCTATAATTTTGTATCATTCTTCCCGATTTATGAATTCCCAGATGCTCATTATTATATAATTGGTAAGAATATTTTGGTATCTTCGTATAATGTAAAATTTATAGTTCGAACTCATGTCTTTATTTTGACTAATTACAATCGCAGATTTGATTGGAGTCGTCAAAGATGCTAGATACTTTACTATTACATACCCGAATGGAACGACTTCATCATCAATTCGCTTTAAGATAATAGATGACAAGTTTATTACATACCCGAATGGAACGACTTCATCATCAATTCGCTATATGTTTGAAGTCTAACTAACTAATTATCAACTACATTGTTTGTCAAAATATAGGGAGTTTATGCTTGAATGTGTTGTACACGGTGAGTTGGCAACTGAAATAAGAGATAAGTGTAGAGAATACGAAGGTCCTTCTGCTGTATGTGTGTTAACCGATTGCTGTGTAGCAATTGACGGAGGTATGTTTTCTGATATATATCAATATGTTATTTATAAAATCGTAGTATATAATGTAATAATATTCTAATATATAGATATATATATATATATATTTTAGAAAATGTGTCTATCAAGTATCATGATGATGATGGTGTGTCTCGTTTTATCAGTGATTCACCGATTCACCGATTGCTGAAGCTCTAACTTTGGGCAATAGGTGAGTATGTTTCTATGTGTTGTCTAAATTGACTTATGAAAGAAAAAAAAACAATATTTTAATAAATTTAGATCTACATGATGTTGTTATTGTTGTTATTGAAATTTCAATCTACATGATGTTGTTATTGAAATTTCAGGATTAGAGAGAAATTAGATAAGCTGGATACAGACGGTGTCTAATGGATTGGGCCGAGTACAAGCATTCAAAATTTATAGTCCAGATGCATTATTAGTTTTGTTAGACACATTTTTTGGTATTTATAAGTCTATTTTGCAATTATTAATAAATGATAATTTATTCTAATTTGAGTTTAAATTACTGCCTAAGCTTTACTTTAATTTGGGTTTAAATTATTGCTTATAAATACAATATATATTGTCTTCGAAATTTACTGCTGAAAGAAAATTATGTGCTATCGAGAGTGGAAAATTTACGAAAGTTTGTTAGTTTTTCAATAATAAAGTATATACGTTTATGAAAACCACAACTAATATGTATTCATATGTATGTCAAAAAGAAAATATGTCTTCATATGTCAAACACGATTTCGCAGTAAAATGAAATATTTAATACATATTAAAATATTAAAGTGTCATACAAATAATATTATAATTTAATAGAGTTTGCAATATAGTTCGATAATAGAATATAGTTCATCCTAATCGACGATTCACATAGAATGGCATGTGCCATCCAATGTAATAATCCTCTATGTGGTTGAATTCATCTGTGTAATCCAACCTGATTCGAGAAGATAACGTTATTCGTTTCAAACTTGATAATTTTGTTATCAAAATATCGAATATAACATAGAAACTTATTGATAATAGTTTTCCTTACATGAAACGGGCATTTTCGACTTCGGGTATAGGAGGATCAAACTTGATATCTGCGAATTCACCGCTAGAGTAAACGCGTATCCTATCTGTATCAAAATTGACGTATTTTGTTTGAAAAGAATACTATATTGTAACATTTTCATTTACCATATTGTAAAACACTACCTCCGTAAGGTGTCACTTCCCAAAGCCTCAAAACACAGAATACTACTTTTCATCTAGGAATATTTAGCCATAGTGCTTCGAAATCAATATCATATTTGTCAAATGCCACACATTTGATATCGACACATCTATAATCATAAACAAATGATCACTTTAGAACTTTAATTATTATTCCCTATTAAAAGGTTCGTGTAATTATAAAAAAAATACAAAAATTTACATGTTTACTTACTCAAAGCTTCTGACAGTGAATTTGATGCATTTCTGTAAATCAACACCGCATCTTCCATATTTCGTCCCTGCATGCTCGCTCAATTTACGAACTTTGACAATTCATCCGATCAAGTTAACTACAAAATTAAAAAATTAATACATGATTATAACTAAAAATTAAAAAAAAAACAAAAAAAAAACACAATTAATCGGACTCGAGACATACCAATCTTAGAGTGTGTAGATGGAATATTGGATATTTCACTGAATGATGTAAATGAATATATATGATCTTTGAGAATTAACAGTGTTTCTTGAATGCGAGTATGTTCGTTGAAACACAAGTGATATTTGTTGAAGATCGCATCAGATGATCGTAGATAATGTATGACACCAAAATTAGGAATGAAATACCATTTCCCCTCAGAAATTCGATCGTTGTACTGACCCATGAAGTCATTGGGGATTGTTGCTACAATTCTATCACCCTTTGACATAATATATAGACAAGTTAGATAACCATTTCATAAAAATATACGCTATTAGAGTGATATACTTACATGTTCATCGGTTAATAAAAGTTTTTTTCTTGGTATACTAGAACCAGTGTCTTCGGTGATCATTTTGACAACTTGAATGCATATGCAAGAAGTCTCCGAAGTCAAATCCAATTCACAGATACGTTCGCATGGAGCCATTTTTTTGTGATAACAAGAAGGCGGTTGTGTATTATAAAATTTAAAGTTTAAAAAAAAAACTTCTCTGATTAATGGAAAATGTTATCGTTTCTTTATTTTATAGATGATCACGAACGAGTGTATCATTAAGACACCCGTTAATTATACTCTTAAAAGTTTAACGGTCATAAAAACTAATTGTTAATAATAAGAATGTTAGATCAATATAGTGTTGGATAAAAATAACATTATTCTGATAAATTAGATTATATAAATGATATTATAAATTTTAAATAATGTTCTGTCGAAAATAGCACTTGTTGGATGATTAGAAAGCATGTCAATAACATATACAGTATAACTGATTTGATTCTAAATCTGTTTGCACAACATTCAATCGACAAATCCATTAAGGTTTGGTCCTAACGGTGTATTATGTTACACTCAAATTATATATCATCTGAGCCCAATATTTTTATACATCATATAGGCCAAAAAAATTCGTGTTATAACAAAAATTTGACTATTCTTTACTAATATAGATAAACCGTAATAACCAAAAATTATCTAGAACATTCATCATAAGTTGCAACTTTTCAAAAATAGAGCATTTTTAGTTTACAAATATACGTAAAAGGCCCTGATTCATGAAACACTTTCCATAACTGTTATTTGGGTGTTATATATATATCCTCATTTTCTCATATCCATCGTTAAAATCAAACAACAAATCAATCCTTCTTTTCAACCGTTTCTTTGACTTTTTCAGAGCATTATCCTCATGGCTACATATAACTTTGTTGATGAATTACATGCATGGAGACGAGATTGGAAAATCCTTGTCAAAGTTTTGAAAAGATGGGATAAACCTGATCGACAAGGGATGAATTTCATTTTAGTCGACGAAAATGTAAGTATTATCTGATATTAATATATAACTTTTTTGTCTATATTTGTTATTTGTTTGATCTCTTTTCAAAATTCATTGTATAGAGGGTTGTAGAATTAATGCTTCATGTGGTAACGTCGCATTTCTATATTTTTACCGCGTTGGGGCTGAAGAACAGTGGCTTGAATTGTCTAAATTCGGCTTGATACCATCTGAATAGAAGAATGAGGGAAGGACAACGAGACAAAATTATCATATCATTCTCACTACTGACAGAAGTCTCAAGCCTACGACCATTGACAATGTATCCCTTCATGAAATTTGTCCCTTTTAGTGAGATATACAGAATTTCTTACGCTCAGTTGTATCATGTTGGTAAGATTAACTTATAAATTTGTACATAGATAGAAAAAAAATATATGAAGTTCATTTATGATAAAATTTTCTCTCATAATTGATTTCTAGGTCTCATTGGTGTGATCGAAAATATTAGCGATATTGAAACACAGAATAACCCTGATGGAGAGATTGTTCAGAAAATAACTTTCACGATCACAAATCTCAAGTAAGTTATATTTTCTCTCACGATCACTATGTCTTGGTAACAAAGTTTGTAACTTAAATTGTTTTAATCAAAGGGATGTGAAGTTGAAATGTATCGCATACGGGGATTTTGCCGCTGATATCAAAGAAAGAACCAAATGATTCATTGGTCCTTTTGCGGTTTCTGTCTTAACCGATTGGAGTATAAATAAAAAAGAAAGTATGGATAATCAAGCATATGTCATTATTATTTTCATTTTGTCCCATATATATTTTATATTGTATGTATATTTCATATTAATCATTTTATGCGTGTAGATGAAATAACTATCCATTCACATGAAGCAATTGGTTTTTCCCGTCTTCTCCTTGATCCTAACACTGATGATGCCCTGATTTTTAAGAGAAAGTAAGTAATCTGAAAATGGTAATTGGAAAATTTTGTATATACAACAACGGAACAACCTTATAATATGTATATGTCTCTTAAACTTTCAGGATTCGGGAGAGGTGGAGAATATTTTAAACATAAGTCGGGACAAGTATAAAAGGCACTCTTGAATCAGATATATATATATATATATATATATAACAGTACTTAATGGATTAGTGTTCTCTTAATTCTTTTGTATAAGTACTTATATAACTTAAAATTTGCGTGTTGGATCTTATTATTTATTTTAATATTTCTTTTTATTATATTTTCATTTACAATTTAGTTATTCGTTATTTTATTATTAATTATATTTGGTAGTCGCTTATTATAATATTACTTAATAGCTACATACGATTTTAAATAATCTAATATGCGATTGATATTAATCGATTTAAAATAATAGTAATGGATATTTAGTATTTTTATGATTTATTTTTATACAGTATTTTAGTTTCAGATTTTGAAAAATAAAAATGTGATATTTATAATACAAGAATTTCTGAAACAAATTATAATAAGATTTGTATATTAATTGTGTTTGTGCGCTGCGGACAAATGCGTATGCGTAGACAGTGAGGACAGAGTAGAATAAAGAAAAACGAAACCTGGAAAAAAAAAAGAAAAAAAAAAAGAGAAGCGGGTATTTTTTTCTTTGGTTCGAGCAGCGAATCCAGAAACACCTTCTTCCTCGAATCTTAACCAAACACTAAACCAACAACCAACCAATTCGGTTAAGCACAGTACGATAACCAATTATGAGAGAACGCAATGGCAACAAATGTAAATATATGCATACTTATGAAACTGCATAAATAAGAGTGCGTGTATAAAAAAGAAAAAAAGTAATCAGTCTCTTTTCGTTGCTTCTTCTTCTTCTTCTCTCGCTCGGAATCGCCATTGGAGTGGCTCTAGCAGAAATCTGGAGATATTCATACTCAATCGCGCCTAAAATCACTAACCATAAACAAACTTTACCTCTCGCTAGAGTTTC